TGGTCACCGAAAAATTCATTATTTGATATTTGTATGAAATGATGTCCAACCTGTAGACATTACTTACGAACTATACGTGTTCGTGATATTTGTGTGTGTATATGTATAAATTCATACACATACACACATGGTGATTATTGAGGTGTTACCTCCCTTTACAGGGCCTATTCCTTAAGTCATTTCGGGCAAATGATGTAATATGAATGTGGCTCTTAGTCGTAATATTTACCGAATAATTCGAAATATTAGAAACGCATCACAGTGAACAGCTCGTGACAGTTTTCTACCAGTTTGACTATTGACGTGAACAGCGCATCTTTGGCCATCGTAAAGTGTAACTATCTGTTTCACGTGTACTGCCTGAACACGGCGCATTTCTGCACATTTATTGCGGTTGTATCATTTGGTTGTGAGTTATAGTCATTGTGTTACAATACCACGTACACTTCCCACAGAATACACCGATATGGCGTTTTATGCTCAACTATAACAATAAAGTATGATAATAAAAGTAAAAAGTTGATTATAGTTTCAGTGTCTTTGGGATAAAATATGGTTATGGTGAATAATCCTTGTCTATCTCATTATATTAGTAGGTATAGTTACCGAAAAATGCTTACACACACTCCATTTATGTGTGCTGATATGAAGATGTGTTTAAAAAGAAAGCTCTATGCACTGTAGAAACGTTTTCAAGATAAATGTTTCGCAGTACAGCATAGGCTTTGTTTTCGCGCGAACCTTCACAAAATCATGACAATATTTAATACTAATGCTGCGGTATATTAATTTTACTAGACTTGTCAGTCAGGAGTTAAAATTTGTCACGTAATTAGTATTGTCAAATGCCTGCTTCCTTTGCGCATATTGTGGCCGCAATCCGTTACTGATGACGAGACTGAGATCACTGATGGTGTGTCAGTGTTCGTCAGTAATAAGAGCGCAGACTGCAGTAAACAGTAAATATTTTGTATGTCTTAGGTATGCTTGACAGCGGTACTCATTTAAATTAGAGAAAACGGGTTTAAACTATCAATATAACCATCTATCAAATATTGTTTTTCTCTTAATTTAAGAGAGTACTTACACATAACAAACATAGTAATACTTGTTTTTCTGAAGAAAAGTTATAATAGTATAAATTCTGCTTTGAATTTAATTGTGTACTGTTTATGTGCAGGAATTTCAATTTTGACTATTTCGTATTCAAATTATGCTACTGTATACATTTACTTAAATAACTCTAAGAACCTACATTTGAATCGCTCTTCGATATCTCATTTCACTGTCATGTACAACCGCTGTAGCTCCAGTAAAAATCAGTCTTCAGTAATAGTGAATTTAGCGTCGTGCGGAGCACCACACAGCGGCTTGTAGAAACGAGAGTCAGTGATCATCTGTGAGAATTGAATCGCAATACGTATATCTGCCTCATGCTCGGAATTCTCTATTATCTATGAAGTTATCACCATTCAGCAACAAATTAAATATAATGAAACATATTTTCTAGTTCATTCCGTCACCAGGTTGTTAGTCCTAACTATAGTCCATCCACTGTTACTTCCAACTTTTTTTAAAGCGCTGCTATAAAGTTTTACTTCCCATATATTCCTCTGCCTGATGCAAATAAAGCTTAATCGAGTCAAGAAAATTACACCAAAGGGACAATTGTAGCACATTCGTGTTCACTCAGTGTAATATTATTTTGTATAAGAACTATTTTTACTTGGAAATGCCGACACGCCTACATTCTGCATATTTATTCAGATTAATTATAAATTTAATATTACAATATATTGATAAAATATAATTATACATTCAATTTTAATTAAAAAAAAGGTATTTTTATGTAAATCCGAGTATAAAACGCTTGTGATAAATTATATTTAGGTAACAACCAAGCACATCATACGTGGGGCGATTTTTGAAAGGTTTTATACAAAAAGCGTGAAGAAACCGCAAATAAACTATAATCAGAATGTAAAATATAGAAATGTTAGTATTTCGATTAAAATAAGTTCGTTTTCATGCGTACATGAAACTTGACATTAAACATTGTATAATGAGGTAATTTCACGTAATAACGCACCTTCATTGTAATTTTTTATGAGTAAAATACATATTACAATAATTTTTAGTATTTGTAAATAAATTGGATTTGCCACTTTTTCTCATTTGATTTTAAGTTCTATAATACATTTTCTCTAAAGAGTATTCGTTGGTAATCTACATTATGTTTTCAGTGTAAACAAATTTTAGTTTGTGTAACTATTTCAATTTTTTTGGTATCAATATACTTCTATGTAAGGAGAGAAATTAATTAAAATCAGTATTTACAAGAAATTGAAGTTTCTCGTAAATTTTCGCCAACATAATATAGCATTTCTGCAAAATGCTTTAGGTACGTAATATCGCACTTTGGGAAGAAGACGTCCACAAGTGCACAACCAGTAGTTCTGTAATATTTACGCTTTAATAATTTAAAAATTCTGGATATTTTTATATGTAATATGCTAAATCTATTTCTTGAGGATGGATTCAACATCGGCAGTTATATAAATACAGTATTTCATGTTTAGATAAAATGTAATATATTTAGTTGTAATTAATTTTTTTCACTTGTGACCATATTGAAATATAACTGAATCTCAATTCGTTGCATTATGGCCAAATATATTTCACTATAAATTAGTATTTTTTGACAAAATGAACATTAAAGTTTGCCAGTTGTTAAACTAGAGTATTAATTAATGTTACTAGTATTAATATAATAAATATTATACATCACATTTTATTCAAAATGCATGTCATCCACAAAACATTATGTTAAATACATTTATGTATAGTGGAAACATAGACTGTTTTGAAGAAATGTTTTATCACAGTTAATGTTCACTTCCTTCCTCTAAATCGGCAGAAACACGAAGGTTTTGAAAGAAATCATGGTACTGTGGCTTTAAATGCTTTGCTTCACACGGGAGGAGAAGGTCTCTTTTCTTTTCAGCACTGATTCCTGTGGCCTGAGTGTATGCAGGAGTAAGTTCATGAGTCCCTGGGTGTCTACCACTTTTTCGGCGATAAACATTGATGATATTGCATTTATTAGCCTCATACCGTATTTGTATTTAATTTCATAGGGTTCTTCCTTCTCAACTCTAATTTCTTCCACGATACCTTTTCACCATTTTCATGTATGCTGAAGTTCGATCCAAAGGAGGTGCACAATTGTCTCAGGTTGTACATATCCGCTGTGTCCATTTCATTTATTTCAAATGGTGATCCAGTTTTCTTGGCAGACTGTACGACAGTTACCCACTGCGCGGAAACATAAATGGGCCCTCCCTTCAACACACGTTTCTTCTGTTTTTCAACGAGGGCGTGCATGTGATCACCTTCATTTTGCGTGTCGCCAGTATTTAAAATTTAGTGAGATATTGAGGGAACGTTGTATGAATCATGTATAACGAAACAACAAACTTGTTTTTATTTTGCCCCGAACAGTTATCGGGATAAAAAACAATGGGCTTCCCCACACTATTTCTCTGCAGAAAGGTATGTAGGCAGGAACCAATTTCATTAGGGCCACGTCTAGCTTGACTCTCGTGCCAAATGAAGCAATGGCCATGTTGAATATAGTGAAGTTGTATGTCGAGAGCCTACGTTTGTAGTAGAATTGTGAAACGTCTCCACTTGGTGTAGGCAGGACAGCTTGCATGTCAAAGCAGGCTGCAATGCATTCCCCTTCTTTAGATTAACTTGAGTCCATTTGTTTTGCGCGCCTGCTGAATTCACATTCTTTCTCGTATTTATCGTAACTGCCCTGCAAGTTTTCGTTATCACTGGAATTCTTCCAAGTTTCACAGAAAGAACACTTTTTTTTTTTTTTTTTTTTTGGAATACAAGGACACCATATAACGTGCGTGCACTTGCACACACTAACTGTACATCACTACAAATTACAGTCGAAATGGAGGAAACTGTAGAAATAACACAAGAGGTGGTGCTAGCAATCCCAGCCACAAACACTACGCCTATTTTCCTTCAAGATATTGTTGAGAACATATAAGTACCGGCTAATTCAGTAGCCGTAGGAAATGTAGTAAACCCTCCGGACTTACTGCAACAGTAGCTTTGATGTAACAACATACAGTTGTATGCAAACCTGAGAGATACAAATTAATGAGAATATTCAAACACAGCTGCAAGGACAAAGCAAAAAAAAAATGCAGCAAATGAATGATGAAATTCAGACACAGCTGCAACAACAAAGCACAAATATGCAGCAAATAAATGAAATATTTAGACACCGCTACAAGCCCACAGCACACAAATGAATGAAAATTTTCAGACAGAAAATGTGGAGCAGCTGAAAGCTGATTTGCAAGCACAAACCACGCAACTTCAAGAGGAGGTCTATACACAACTGCGAAACCACAGTAGATTGCTGCAGCAACGGGTAGCTTCATTTATGGAAGAGGTCACTATAAACATTTTAATTTATTTTACAACAGGAGCTTTTAAGAAGCTGAACATGAATATAAATTTACAAGTATTTCGTTTTTAAAATTTGTACTGATTATATATATAATCATTTATACTTACATGTGTAGCGATTTTGTAGTTTATATACGTCATTATCATTATAAAAAGTCAGAAACTGTTAATTCTTAACTACCTATACATCGTATCAACAATTACTGTATGTAATCCTTTTGTTAATTGAAATTTACAGTAAATGAAAAAGACCACATCAAAAAAAATATATATATATATATAAGTTCTTGATTTTATGTTTCGGAAATTCGTGGACTGCGAGACATTTATATAGGCCGCAAGGCCGAACCTTGCTACTTTCCAAGCCATGCTTTAGTAAGCAGTAGTATAATATTGATCTATGTATTTTCCGCCCATCAGATGAGTAGTAAGATATTTTGGTGATGAAATTCTATTTGACTTCACATTAACACTTTTTGACAAAGGACTTAAATAAGACGATAGCATGCCGTGACCAGTAGTCGAACCTGGGTTATTGCGACCACAATGCAACGTACTAATCACTATACGATCACGGCTACCATGCTGCTATAAATTAAGCTGCTGATTATAAAGCACTTCATGTGCGATGCCAGTCGTCTGCGACGGTTATACTTAAGCCATGAACCGTGGTTGCTCGTTGGTTCAGGCGAACCGTCAACCTCCAGTGTCAAACGCCGTGAGAGGAAGCTGCGTCATGTAACTCCAATACCCGGTCGTTGCCCGCCAAAAAAAACAACTGAAACATGGGACCATCTTCCTATTTTCATAACGGTGATTTTATGAAGGGGGTGGGGGCTAGTACAGGCCATTTGCTGTTACTTCACACTTTTCTAAAGACCTGTTAAGATTCTGCTTTTGGTTACCGATTACGTATCCTTCCACTACATGCAAATACAAACACTGCCATGTGACTTCTAGGTTTCAAATCACAATCACAACGCTTTGTTTACAGTTTTCAGCTGTTCAAATAATCCTGTCATATTTCAAAAACAATTATGTATGAATGTTCACAATGAAGGTGTAAAAATAAAATGTTTTTTTTTTTTTTTACACTGGCTGTATTGGTGAGAGTACTAATGGTTACAATTTACATTTTTATCATATTTCTGTTATACACTGTAGAGCACATTGCACATAGTACTGGTTAATATTTTGCCGCGACTGTGTTTAACTTTTCTATAAATGTGGGGGAAAGAACTGTATGTGTTGCGCTATTTCGCTTACAGGTCGGCCTCAGTTGGAGTAAATATTCAAACGAAGTAGCAACAAGTGGTACAAAAAATAGAGTAAAATCAAGCATGCAACTCGTCTCTTTTTTTTTTTTGTACGTGCCATGGACAAACTTAAAAAGACAGTGGTGAACTGCACACAAATAGAACAACCGTACCTTTTATTCCGCCTATGCTTCTTTTCATGGGCACTTAGTTTTTACTGGGTTTATTTTACTATGGATTTATCATTTTTTTGTCTGGGCTTGTAATATGTCGGGATTGTGACAAACCTCCAAATAACATAAGCGTTAGCACATATCACAGATGTGTTGTAAGCTCACACCTAGGGCAAAGATACAAGTTGTGATAAATAACGAGATATGACCTTCAAATAATTAATTTCGTCACTAAACAGAACACGTTTTAATCGTATAAATTTTGCACGTACAATATTTACAAACACACACACGCACACACACCTAGGCACCCTTTTACACGCAGCGGTCACGACAAACGTTACAGTGCATTTATTCCTGCCGTGTTAAACACATATTTATCATAACATCGTAACATAAACACTGCCATGTAACTTCTAGGTTTCAAATTTCAAATACTTTCCTTACTGTTTTAAGCTGTTCAAATTATTTTATCATACAGTATATCAAAAATCATTATGTATGAGTGATCACAATAAAAATCTAATATGAAGGTCAGCTTTATGACTTTTTAACAATGTCTGCATTGACGATAGTTCTTATGGTTATTTATTTACATTGTTAACATATTTGTATTCTACACGATATAGCACATTACACATAGTATACGCGTTAACATTTCGCCGCTACTGTGTTTAACCTTGGTATAACTGTGGGGGAAATAACTGTAGTATTTAATCTCTTGTTATTGATATGTGTTGCGTTATTTCACTAAAAGGACTGCTTCAGTTGCAATAAATTCTAAAACGAAGGAACAACCAGTGGAACAAAAAATACAGCGAATTCAAGAACGCAACTCGTATCCTTTAATTTTTTTTGTACGTAGCATCGACAGACTTAAAAAGACAGCGGTGAACGTGCACACAAATAGACCTACTGTAACTTTTATTCCGCTTATACTTATATGCATAGTGTTACGGCGAGCCTTGTAAACCCGCGCACAAGCTATTTGGGGGAAACGTAACTCAGGCGCAGAACACTCTATTACTTCAATTAGTCAATATATTTAAAACCATGATTAATCTGTTACAATATATATCACGATACATATTTCATTAACTCGATTACTATACATATTGCGCCGGGGGAGCGTGTATATTAATTAACCTATTCTAACTATCTGCATTTACGTCAATTACTTAACGGCCACGCATCTAGCCGTAGGCTGAATCTGATTGCGATCACGGCCTTCGGAACCCCATCTGCTGGTCCATCTTGTCCCGTCTTCTGCTTGGTGAGTTAAGACCTGGACTCGACGCTCTGCAGGTCGTAAGCGGATATCACACGATACCTGCAGCCGTACTTGGTTCTTGTACAAGCTTCTACAAGCCCTGGTGTACCAGTCGCTATATGAGCCGCCATGGAAGATTCATATTACACGACAGCAGTTCGCGTACTAGCATTTGGCACCCTCGGTGGATGCGCAGTGTGTGGTTTGTATTATAGGTGAAACTCATTCATAGAACTGCTACCAGTTAGTAACTTGCGTAAGCCTATATAAAATTACTAGCTAGCACATCTTAATATTCCTATATTACTGTTCTAGTTTTACATAAATTACTTGCTTACAAGTATAGTTTCATTCATTTTCTTGAAAATGACGTGCAGTCACTAGAGTACGAGTGTGTTAATTTTAATTTTGACGAAAATTACTGACCGGTTGCAAAATATAGTTGTTTCTATATATACATGGATATTAACCACAAGTGAAATTTAATTATAAAATAAATTCGGGTCCGGTGGAATTTCGAACTCATGCCCAAAAGTTACACAGTACTCGCGGGCGCCGCAACCTTGACAGCGTACCACCAGATCACTTAATGTTGCATAACCCTTTGTTATTATTGATCACTCAGATTTAATTTGCAATTGAACCAAGGTGATTAACATATTACCCTACCTTTTCTAGGTTAAACCAAAGTCGTAAATTTCAATTATTTTGATTTTCCTAATTTATTTTTAGTGCAAGTGATGATGTGCAGCAGTTCGGTCATTTTATTTAATATTTTATGTAGTAATGCACACTAACCGCAACTAGATCCAGGGAGCTTCTTGCTTGTGGTGCAATTGGGTACTGGAATAACTGCAGCTCTTATAGGCTGTGAGTGAATTGGCCTCAATTGCGCCACAAAGTAATTAGCAGACCTAGTGGTTGTGGTTTGGTGTGCATATTTGTGCATACTTATGCATACTAATGCATACTTATGCATTTTAGTACATGATTTTTTGCATGTATACCCTACCTTTTGCGTGAACCTTGGTTTCTGATATCCTGGCCCTCTGAATACTTGGACACACACCTTATGTATGATGTATTAGCATGTGTAATTTAAGTATTAAGTTATAGTATTAATTTTTTGAGGATTTCTCGTGTTTTGCTTTGTCTCCATTCATGGTCACTATTGTTCCCGAGCATTTGTTACGTGACGAAATATTTGATGAATGTGCAATTAGAGGAGTAAAACCCCATAACAAGCTGTTCTGGCAGCTCGCAGTACCCTGCATGCTGCAGTTAGTACTGAGACTCCAATCAACCTTTAGTACCTGGAGTCTATCAGTGTGGACAAGAGTATTCTGTGTGTGCAGCAAAAATCATTACCTTTAAAGAGATCTATGAGATATTAGGTGATGATTTCAGCTCCCTAAAATATCACCTGTTCAAATCCTGGTTATACTACCTTAAGAATAGGATGAAAGATCTTCTCAACTTGTGTGCTGAGTCTCTCTCGGAATTACTAACACAGTCTTTGAAAATATACTTACTCAGGCATAGAATCTGCTGGAAGCTGTATGCAATTTTGAAACAAGTAAGTCACAAAATTCTCTTACAGATGCTTCATTTGCCCATGTCAATGAACAACCCCCTACCCCAACCAGAAGTAATGCTACCAAAACCATTCCATCTTCCCAACCTGCTCAAGTTTCCCTTGGTAACCTACCCCCTATTTCCCAATTTGCATCATTTTCGATCAACCCTTCAGTTCAGGTTCAAGGGCCCATCCCATCTGCCACCATTGCCAACTCTAATTTTGCTTATGTCATGATGCCAGCAGTGGTGCCAACCTCACAAACTTTTGTATCACCCCCATTTGGTAAAATCACTCACCCTTTAGAGCATATGTTATGTGAATTTCCAGCCACTGATGGGTTACAAATTCCCAATTGTTTGGAATTCTTGAAAATTATTGTGTGGTTGCATCAGAGAAACACTGTTGCTGAAGCCCAATTATTAGAGATAATCTACCTCTTCACCCTAGGCCCCATAAGTGAGAGAACTAGACGTGCCATTGCACATCATTCACTTTCGACCAGTACATTGAAGACATCTTGCATTATTTCATCTCATCTCAGCTATACACCCAGTTACAGTTCAAATGTTTAACAGATTTCAGAAGTATAATGAGTATTTATCTGTATACATTAGCAGCATCAAAGAAGCAGCTGTTGTTTTGCGCCTGGCCTTGAATGAGAGTGATATTGTCAACATTATTTTAGACGAATTAGAGCCCCAGGAGCACTTCTGTTTAGTTTTTATGGGAAAGACTAATTCTTTTGCTGAAATTGATCGTGTCTGTATACACTCACAGAATATTTGCTATGTGGATAAAAAACAGGAGAATTTTGCAGCTCGTGACTGGCAGCCTAGCAAGACAGGTCCTGTCCATGATAGGAAGAATAAGTCAGGCTACCAGATGTTAATGCTGTAGCTACTGAAAGGTCAGATAGCATCCCTATAACTCAGAAACATGCCACAAGGGTTTCAGATAAAGAAACACGTGCGTGTTTCTATTGTAAAGAAACAGACCCCTGATTGGCAATTGCCCTCGTCTAGCTGCAAAAAACGAGTCCCACAGGGACGAAAAGTGAGCTGTCATCCTCGCTATGTGGGCAATTATTCCAATTCTCCATTCCATGCTCACATTTTTCGGACCATTAATCTCGGTCACCGTTTTCAAGGTCTGTTTGGTCCCTATGACCATTGTGAAACCAAAACTCAGTCCAAAATTTTTCATGTCAAATTTCCTAATGTTATCGGTCTACAGAGCTGTGTCACCCTATATGTTGAGGTTGATTTGGGATCTTTGGTTACTCATGCCTTGGTAGACCCAG